CAAGAGGACGGTACTATCCAGGGAAGCTAGGAGGACAGTACTTTCCAGGAGGGCTAGGAGGACGGTACTTTCCAGGAGGGCTAGGAAGACGTTACTGTCCAGGAGGGCTATAAGGACGTTACTATCTACGAGAGCCAAGAGGACGGTACTATCCAAGAGAGCTAGGAGGACGGTACTTTCAAGGAGAGCTAGGAGAACGGTACTTTTCAGGAGGGCTAAGAGAACGGTACTTTCCAGGAGGGCTAGGAGGACGGTATTTTCCAGGAGGGCTAGGAGGACGGTACTTCCCAGGAGGGCTAGGAGGACGGTACTTTCCAAGTGGGCTAAGAAGACGTTACTGTCCAGGAGGGCTAGGAGGATGGTACTTTCCAGGAGGGCTAGGAGGACGTTACTATCCAGGAGGGCTAGGAGGACGTTACTATCCACGAAGGCCAAGAAGACGGTACTATCAAAGAAAGCTAGGAGAATGGTACTTTCCGGGAGTGCTAGGAGGAGGGTACTTTCTGGGAGAGGTAGGAGGATGGTTCTTTCCAGGAGGACTAGGAGGATGGTATTTTCTGGGAGGCCTAGGAGGATGGTACTATCCAGGAGGGCAAGGAAGACGGTACTGTCGGGGAGGGCTGGGAGGACGGTACTTTTAGGAAGGGCTAGGAGGATGGTACTTTCTAGGAGGGCTAGGAGGACGGTACTGTCTGGGAGGGCTAGGAGATCGGTACTTTTAGGAAAGGCTAGGAGGAAGGAACTTTCCAGGAGGGCTAAGGGGATGGTACTATTCAGGAGGGTTAGGAGGACGGTACTATCCAGGAGGGCTAGGAGGACGGTACTGTCCGGAGGGGTAGGAGGACGCTACTATCCAGGAGGGCTAGGAGGACGGTACTATCCATGAGAGCGAGGAGAACGTTACTGTCCTGGAGGGCTATAAGGACGTTACTATCCTCGAGGGCCAAGAGGACGGTACTATCCAAGAAAGCTAGGAGGACGGTACTTTTCAGGAGGGCTAGGAGGACGGTACTTTCTAGGAGGGCTAGGAGGACGGTACTTTCCAGGAGGGCTAGGAGGACGGTACTTTCCAGGAGGGCTAGGAGGACGGATCTTTCCAGGAGGGCTAGGAGGACGGTACTTTCCAGAAAGGTTAGGAGCACGGTACTTTCCAGGAGGGCTAAGAAGACGTTACTGTCCAGGAGAGCTAGGAGGATGGTACTTTCCAGGAGGGCTAGGAGGACGTTACTATCCAACAGGGCCAAGAGGACGGTACTATCCAAGAAAGCTAGGAGAATTGTACTTTCCGGGAGGGCTAGGAGGAGGGTACTTTCCGGGAGAGCTAGGAGGATGGTACTTTAAAGGGGGGCTAGGAGAATGGTACTATCCTGGAGGGCTATGAGGACAGTACTTTCCGGGAGGGCTAGGAGGATGGTACTTTCCAGGAGGGCTAGGAGGACGTTACTATCCAGGAGGGCTAGGAGGACGTTACTATCCAGGAGGGCTAGAAGGACGTTACTATCCAGAAGGGCTAGGAGGCCGGTACTTTCCGGGAGGGCTTGGAGGACGGTACTTTCCAGGAGGGCTAGGAGGACGGTACCTTCCGGGAGGACTAGGAGGATGGTACTTTCCAGGAGGGCATGGAGGACGGTACATTCCAGGAGGGCTAGGAGGATGGTACTGTCTGGGAGGGCTAGGAGGACGTTACTGTGCAGGAGGGCTAGGTGGACGGTACTATCCAGGAGAGCTAGGAGGACGGTACTATCCAGGAAGGCTAGGATGACGGTAGTATCCAGGAGGGCTAGGAGGACGGTACTATCCAGAATGGCTAGAGGGCAATAATATCCAGGAGGGCTAGAGGACGATACTATCCAGGAGGGCCAGGAGAACAGTACTATCCAGGAGGGCTACGAAGACGGTACTATCCAGGAGAGCTAGGAGGATGTTACTGTCCAGGAGGGCTAGGAGAACGTTACTATCCAGAAGGGCTAGAAGGACGGTACTTTTTGGAAGGGCTAGGAGGATGGAACTATCCCGGAGGGCTTGGAGGACGGTACTTTCCAGGAGGGCTTGGAGGACAGCACTTTCCAGGAGGGCTTGGAGGACGGTACTTTCCAGGAGGGCTTGGAGGACCGTATTTTTAGTAAGGGCTAGGAGGATGGTACTTTCCAGGAGGGCTAGGAGGACGGTACTATCCAGGAGGGCTAGGAGGCCGGTACTGTCCGGTAGGGCTAGGAGGACGCTACTATTCAGGAGGGCTAGGAGAACGTTACTATCCAGGAGGGCTAGGAGGACGGTACTATCCAGGAGGGCTAGGAGGACGGTACTATCCAGGAGGGCTACGAGGACGGTACTATCCAAGAGAGCTAGGAGGACGGTACTATCCAACAGGGCTAGGAGGACGGTACTATCCAGGAGAGCTAGGAGGACGGTACTATTCAAAAGGGCTAGGGGGACGGTACTTTCTGTTACGGCCCTCTCGGGTCGCAATCGAGTTCTTTCTCTGATGTTGTTAGAGGTAGGGTATCCGGCCCCAAGCTAGTAGTGGCTTTCAAGAGATGTGATCCGTAACGCAAGAAAAATAAAAGGGGAAGGGAAATAAAGTCAAAAACTTAATAATATAATTATCACCATCACCATAAATACTATATAAAAGATTACACGGGGGGGGGGGGGTATAAACACTAGAATTCACTACGTAGTCTTCCTCTGAAGACTCTAGACGTTCACGGTGCTCAACGGTGCCAAGCTCTTGGTCCTCTCGTGGCCTTACGACGAATCCTTCGAGAATCTTGAGTCTACCCAGAACACAGGCCAGCCAAGTCACAGTTCCACTGGGGCCACGGTCGTGGAGGCCTTCAACCACAAGTCCAGCCGGCAGCTGGCAGGTTCCAAACAGCAACGCTGGTTAGGCCTCTCCACGATCGTTACTAAGGTAGCGAACCCTAGTCAGGAGCCTCGTGTGATACCACAGATCACTCTCCTTGCCACAACTCCCCAGTGGTTAAGCGTCTCCACCAGTCAGTCCCGGATATGACAATCCCTCAACTGCCTCTTCACAGGCAGGTTAACACCACAGTGTTCATCCGGGGGCGACTCACAGCTGCTGCAGCAAACACTTGGAGACGTGACGACTGCCTTGGGTAGACTGATCCAACTTCCATTACAGCAGTCCCAGGTCGACTCTGTAATCAGACACGTCATCAGTAACAGGGACACACTAGGACACCTTACTTACAGGCTTAGACACAAACGCCCGACGTATCCACTCCATAGATGGCGTTGCTGTCTAAGCTCCACCTCACCAGGGGTCAGCAGCGGCTGTGTTATTAGCTGATCAGGACTGGAAACTAGCCCTTGTGGCCAGTACACCTCGTCCTCACCAGGTGTCGTCGTCCATTTGGAGGGGGTTTCGGGAGCTGACCCACAGATGGTGCGGTCGACACTGCTCCGTGCTCGGACATTGGGCTCGGGTCCGTAACACTATCCAAGAGAGCTTGGAGGAAGGTACTATCCAGGAGGGCTAGGAGGACGGTACTCTCCAGGACGGCTAGGAGGACGGTACTATCCAGGAAGGCTAGGAAGACGCTACTATCCAGGAGGCCTAGGAGGACGGTACTATCCAGTAGGGCTAGAGGACAGTAATATCCAGGAGTGCTAGGAGGACGGTACTGTCCAGGAGGGCTAGGAGGACGTTACTGTGCAGGAGGGCTAGGTGGACGGTACTATCCAGGAGAGCTAGGAGGACGGTACTATCCAAGAAGGCTAGGATGACGGTAGTATCCAGGAGGGCTAGGAGAACGGTACTATCCAGAAGGGCTAGAGGACAATAATATCCAGTAGGGCTAGGAGGACGGCACTATCCAGGAGGGCTAGGAGGACAGTACTATCCAGGAGGGATAGGAGGACGGTACTATCCAGGAGGGCTAGAACGACGGTAATATGCAGGAGGGCTAGGAGAACGGTACTATTCAGAAGGGCTAGGAGGACAGTACTATCCTGGAGGGCTAGGAGGACGGTACAGTCCAGGAGGGCTAGAAGGACGGTAATATTCTCCTAGACCCATCCATCCTTGGGTCTGGGAGCACCTGCTATGTCAGGTGTCATGCACACTATGGTAGCTGGTGCTCCCAGACCCCAGGATGGTGTCATGCACACTATGGTAGCTGGTGCTCCCAGACCCCAGGATGGTGTCATGCACACTATGGTAGCTGGTGCTCCCAGACCCCAGGATGGTGTCATGCACACTATGATAGCTGGTGCTCCCAGACCCCAGGATGGTGTCATGCACACTATGGTAGCATGTGCTACCAGACCCCATTATGGTTGTGGTGATGGTGTCATGCACACTATGGTAGCAGGTGCTCCCTGACCCTAGGATGGTTGTGGTGATGGTGTCATGCACACTATGGTAGCAGGTGCTCCCTGACCCCAGGATGGTTGTGGTGATGGTGTCATGCACACTATGGTAGCAGGTGCTCCCAGACCCCAGGATGGTGTCATGCACACTATGGTAGCAGGTGCTCCCAGACCCCAGGATGGTTGTGGTGATGGTGTCATGCACACTATGGTAGCTGGTGCTCCCAGACCCCACAAAGGTGTCACGCATACTATGGTAGCAGGTGCTCCCAGACATCAGAATGGGTGTGGTGATGGTGTCATGCACACTATGGTAGCAGGTGCTCCCAGACATCAGAATGGGTGTGGTGATGGTGTCATGCACACTATGGTAGCAGGTGCTCCCAGACATCAGAATGGGTGTGGTGATGGTGTCATGCACACTATGGTAGCAGGTGCTCCCAGACCCAACGATGGTTGTGGTGATGGTGTCATGCACACTATGTAGCTGGTGCTCCTATATACCAGGACGGTGTCATGCACTCTATGGTAGAAGGTGCTCCCTGTCCCCCGGATGGTTCTGGTGGTGGTGTCATGCACACTATTGTAGTTGGTGTTCCCAGACCCCAGGATGGTGTCATGTGCACTGTGGTAGCTGGTGCTCGCTGACCACAGGAGGTGTCATGCGTGTGTCATGCGTGCATGACACCTTCGTGTGCCTCACCGTCGAGTGCCTGACCTTCGTGTGCCTCACCTTCGTGGGCCACACCTTCGTGGGCCTCACCTTCGTGGGCCACACCTTCGTGGGCCTCACCTTCGTGTGTCTCACCTTCGTGTGCCTCACCTTCGTTTGCCTAACCGTCGTGTGCCTGACCTTCGTGTGCCTCACCTTCGTGTGCCTCACCTTCGTGGGCCACACCTTCGTGGGCCTCACCTTCGTGGGCCTCACCTTCGTGTGCCTCACCTTCGTGTGCCTCAACTTCGTTTGCCTCACCTTCGTGTGTCTCACCTTCGTTTGCCTCAACTTCTTGTGTCGCACCTTCGTGTTTCTCACCTTCGTGTGCCTCACCTTCGTGTGCCTCACCTTTTTGTGGATCTCTTTCATGTGTCTCACCTTCATGTGCATGACCTTCGAGTACCTCACCTTCGTAAGCCTCAACTTCGTGTGTCTCACCATCGTATGCCTCACTTTCGTGTGCTTGAAATTCGTTTGCCTCACCTTCGCGTGTCTCACCTTCGTGTGCCTCACCTTATTGGGCCACACCTTCGTGTGTCTCACCTTCGTGTGTCTCACCTTCGTGTGCCTCAACTTCGTGTGTCGCACCTTCGTGCTTCTCACCTTCGTTTGCCTAACCGTCGTGTGTCTCACCTTCGTAGGCCTATCTTTCGCGTGACTCACCTTCGTGTACCTCACCTTCGTGGGCCTAACCTTCGTAAGCCTCAACTTCGTGTGCCTCACCTTCGTGTGCCTCACCTTCTTGAGGATCACCTTCATGTGTCTCACCTTCATGTGCCTGACCATCGAGTGCCTCACCTTCCTGTGCCTCACCTTCGTGTTCCTCAACTTCGTGTGTCTCAACTTCGTATTCCTCACCTTCTTGTGCGTCACCTTCGTGTGCCTTTACTTCGTTTGTCTCACTTTCTTGTGTCTCACCTTCGTGTGCCTGACCCTCGTGTGCCTCACCTTTGTGTGTCTCACCTTCGTGTACCTCACCTTCGTGAGTCTCACCTTCGTGTATCTCACCTTCGTGTGTCTCACCTTCATGTGCCTGACCTTCATGTGCCTCAACTTAGTGGACCTCACCTTCGTGTGTCTCACTTTCGTGTGCCTCATTTTCGTATGCCTCAACTTCGTGTGTCTCATCTTCGTGTGTCTCACCATCATATGCTTCACCTTCGTGTGTCTCACCTTCATATGCCTGACTTTCATGAGCCTTTCCTTCATGGGCCTCAACTTCGTGTGCCTCAACTTCGTGTGTCTCACCTTCGTGTGTCTCACCTTCGTGTGCCACACCTTCCTGTTCCTCAACTTCTTGTGGATCACCATCATGTGTCTTACCTTTATGTGCCTGACCTTCGAGAGCCTCACGTTCGAGGGCATCACCTTCGTGGGCCTCACAATCTTGGGCCTCAACTTCGTGTGCCTCACCTTAGTGTGCCTCACCTTCGTGTGCCTCACCTTCGTGTTGTCTCACCTTCATGTGCCTCACCTTCGTTTTGTCTCACCTTCATGTTCCTGACTTTCGTGTGCCTTGCCTTTATAGGCCTAAACTTCGTGTGCCTCACCTTCGTGTGCCTCACCTTCGTGTGTATCCCCTTCGTGTACCTCACCTTCGTGGGCCTCACTGTCGTGGGCCTCACCTTCGTGTGCCTCACCTTCGTGTGCCTCACCTTCTTGTGTCTCACCTTCGTGGTCCACACTTTCGTGTGTCTCACGTTCGTGTGCCTCAACTTCGTGTGTCTCATGTTTGTGTGCCTCACCTTCGTGTGCCTCACCTTCGTATGCGTCAACTTTGTTTGGTCCACATTCGTGTGTTTCACATTAATGTGCCTGATGTTCGTGTGCCTCACCTTCGTGTGCCTCATCTTCGTGTGCCTCACCTTCATAGGCCTCAACTTCGTGTGCCTCACCTTCATAGGCCTCAACTTCGTGTGCCGCACCTTCGTTTGCCTAACCTTCGTTTGACTCACCTTTGTGTGCCTCACCTTCGTGTACCTCACCTTCGTGTACTTCACCTTCGTGTGTCTCACCTTCGTAGGCCTCGCCTTCGTGTGCCTCAACTTCGTGTGTCGCACATTCGTGTTTCTCACCTTCGTTTGCCTAACCTTCGTTTGACTCACCTTTGTGTGCCTCACCTTCGTGAGCCTCAACTTCATGTGTTTCATCTTCCTGTGTCTCACCTTCGTGTGCCTCACCTTCGTGTGCCTCACCTTCGCGTGTCTCATCTTCGTATGCCTCAACTTCGTATGTCTCACCTTCGTGTGTCTCACCTTCATGTGCCTGACCTTCGTGTGCCTCACCTTCGTGTGTCTCACCTTCGTGTGCCTCAACTTCGTTTGCCTCACCTTCGTGTGTCTCACCTTCGTTTGCCTAACCTTCGTGAGCCTCACCTTCGTAGGCCTCACCTTCGCGTGTCTCATCTTCGTATGCCTCAACTTCGTATGTCTCACCTTCGTGTGTCTCACCTTCATGTGCCTGACCTTCGTGTGCCTCACCTTCGTGTGTCTCACCTTCGTGTGCCTCAACTTCGTTTGCCTCACCTTCGTGTGTCTCACCTTCGTTTGCCTAACCTTCGTGTGCCTCACCTTCGTTAGCCTCAACTTCGTGTGTCATACCTTCTTGTTACTCACCTTCGTGTGCCTCAACTTTGTGTGTCTCACCTTCGTGTGCCTCACCTTCGTGTGCCCCACCTTCGTGTTCCTCAACTTCGTGTGTCTCACTTTCGTGTGCGTCACCTTCGTGTGCCTCACCTTCGTGTGTCTCACCTTAATGTGCCTGACCTTCGTGTGCCTCACCTTCGTGGGCCACACCTTCGTGTTCCTCACCTTCATGTGCCTCACCTTCGTGTGACTCACCTTCGTGTGCCTCACCTTCGTGAGCCTCACCTTCGTAGGCCTCACCTTCATGTGCATGACCTTCGAGTGCCTCACCTTCGTGGGCCTCCCCTTCGTGTGTCTCACCTTCGTGTTTCTCACCTTCGTGTGCCTTACCTTCGTAAGCCTCAACTTCGTGTGTCTCACTATCGTATGCCTCACTTTCGTGTGCCTCAACTTCGTGTGTCTCACTTTCGTGTGTCTCACCTTAATGTGCATGACCTTCGTGGGCCTCACCTTCGTGGGCCTCACCTTCGTGTGCCTCACCTTCGTGTGCCTCACCTTCGTATGCCTCAACTTCTTGTGTCTCACCTTCGTGTGTCTCACCATCATGTGACTGACCTTCGTGTGTCTCACCTTCATGTGCCTTACCTTCATGGGCCTCAACTTCGTGTGCCTCACCTTCGTGGGCCTCACCTTCGTGTGTCTCACCTTCGTGTACCTCACCTTCGTGTGGCTCGCCTTCGTGTGTCTCACCTTCCTGTGCCACACCTTCCTGTGCCTCATCTTCCTGTGCCCCAACTTCTTGTGGATCACCTTCATGTGCCTTACCTTCGAGGGCCACACGTTTGAGGGCCTCACCTTCGTGGCCCACACACTCTTGGGCCTCAATCTTATGAGCCTCACCTTCGTGTGGCTCACATTCGTGTGCCTCACCATCGTGTTGTCTCACCTTGATTTTCCTGACATTCGTGTGTCTCACCTTCGTGGGCCACACCTTCGTGGGCCTCACCTTCATGGGCCTCACCTTCGTGTGCCTCTCCTTCTTATGCCTCAACTTTGTTTACCTCACCTTCGTGTATATCACCTTCGTGTACCTCATCTTCGTAGGCCACACTGTCGTGTGTCTCACCTTCGTGTGCCTCACCTTCGTTAGCCTCAACTTCGTGTGTCATACCTTCTTGTTACTCACCTTCGTGTGCCTCAACTTTGTGTGTCTCACCTTCGTGTGCCTCACCTTCGTGTGCCCCACCTTCGTGTGCCTCAACTTCGTGTGTCTCACTTTCGTGTGCGTCACCTTCGTGTGCCTCACCTTCGTGTGTCTCACCTTAATGTGCCTGACCTTCGTGTGCCTCACCTTCGTGGGCCACACCTTCGTGTTCCTCACCTTCGTGTGCCTCACCTTCATAGGCCTCAGCTTCGTGTGACTCACCTGCGTTTCCCTAACCCTCGTGTGACTCACCTTTGTGTGTCTCACCTTTGTGTACCTCACCTTCGTGTGCTTCACCTTCGTGTGTCTCACCTTCGTGGGCCACACCTTCGTGGGCCTCACCTTCATGTGCATGATCTCGAGTGCCTCACCTTCGTGGGCCTAACCTTCGTGGGCCTCACCTTCGTGGACGTCACCTTCGTTAGCCTCCCTTTCGTGTGTCTCACCTTCGTGTTTCTCACCTTCGTGTGCCTCACCTTCGTAAGCCTCAACTTCGTGTGTCTCACCTTCGTATGCCTCACTTTCGGGTGCCTCAACTTCGTGTGTCTCACTTTCGTGTGTCTCACCTTCGTGTGCCTCACCTTCGTGTGCCTCAACTTCGTGTGGCCCACCTTCGTGTGTCTCACCTTAATGTGCCTGACCTTCGTGTGCCTCACCTTCGTGGGCCTCACCTTCGTGTGCCTCACCTTCGTATGCCTCAACTTCGTGTGTCTCACCTTCGTGTGTCTCACCATCGTGTGGCTCACCTTCGTGTGTCTCACCTTCATGTGCTTGACTTTCATGGGCCTCATCTTCGTGTGTCTCACTTTCGTGTGGCTCACTTTCGTGTGCCTTACCTTCATGGGCCTCAATATCGTGTGCCTTACCTTCGTGTGGCTCACTCTCGTGTGCCTCACTATCGTGTAGCTCACCGTATTGTCTCATCTTCATATGCCTGACTTTCGTGTGCCTCACCTTCCTGGGCCTCTACTTCGTGTGCCTCACCTTCGTGTGGCTCACTCACGTGTGCCTCACCTTCGTGTGCCTCACCTTCGTGTGCTTCTCCTTCGTGTTCTCTCACCTTCATGTGCCTGTCTTTTGTGTGCCTCACCTTCATAGGCTTCAACTTCGTGTGCCTAACCTTCGTGTGACTCACCTTTGTGTGTCTCACCTGTTATACTCAAATTGAATGTCCGTTGAGACATAACCAATCACAGGCAAGTAGGCCTCTGACGTCATGCCAGACAGACAGTCACCAGCCATGCTCCCAGCAGCAGCCTCAGGTCTCCCGACAGACTCAGAATAGGTGGACCTCGGCTGGCCAGATATACACCTTGTTGTCTCAGTCAATAAATATACAGAAGTGCCTACTGTGTCTACATTCAACCCTGCAAGGCAACTAATACTGGTAGCAGCAGTGGGATCCAGAATTATTTTTTCTGGAAACGAAAATTCAAGTACCCAACATCGCCTTGTATTCCAGCCGCCACCGCCATCAGCCGCCTCCATAAGCCGCCATCCTGCCACCCATGCATCAATTATTGTACCAGTCCGGGGTCCTGTTATCAGCCACTACTCTTGGTCGTCGATTTCAAAAGTAAAGCGCAATATTTGCAAGAGAGAACGAAATTTTCCACGAGTCTCCGTGGTGTAGTGGTAAGACACTGGCTTGCGTTCCGCGAGCTCTATGTCATGGGTTCGTATCCTTGCCGGGGAGGATTTACTGGGCGCAATTCCTTAACTGTAGCCTGTTTAATGCAACAGTAAAATGTGTACTTGGATGAAAAAACGATTCTTCGCGGCAGGGGATCGTACTCCAGGGACCTGGCCGAAACGCTACGCGTACTATTGGCTGTACAAGAATGTAACAACTCTTGTATATATCTCACAAAAAAAAAAAATCAGCGAAGGGGAGAGTAATTCGCTGCCAGCGTTTTTTAATTTCCCGCGCACGTGGGAACCTGCACCACCACCGCCACCCAAGCCCACATCAACAAGCCTTGTGTGTTGCCTGTACCAGTTCCAGCTATTGCAATCATCTTCTACAGCTTCAACTGCTCTGCAGCTGTGTTGTGCAATCTTAGTGAGAAACAATTGCCGAAAAAAAAGACTACAACCGTCTGACTAGTGTCGCCCCCCCCCCCCCAAGCTCACACACCTCGCCACGTTGCCACATCGACACCTCGCCACCTCTCACCATCGCCACCAGCCCCCTTGCTACATCATTTTGTGTGAACTTCGACCTAGCACGGCGTGCTTCCTTCGTCATCAGAGTTTATCTTCGCGCTTCCAACATCAATTCCTAGTGTTTAGTCTCCCGAGCTTCGCGCCACTGCCGCCAGCAGCGCTGCCGTCGCACCAGAGTGTAAACAAAACCTCGCATGTGCCTCTTCACACACGCCGTGTCGCCGTTTTTCGTGATTGGCCACTCTTATATTGCAAATCCTGCAGCCCTGAGTTAAGTAATTATGAGCTAAGATATCGTGTGCTATGGTTAATGAGGTTTAACGTAAATATATCCAAAATATCTTATGAATTAGCCTTTCAGTGACTTGTTAAATATTGGAGCTGGTTCAGTACTCCACTCCCCACAGTTTCCTTGTGTGATTTCAACATTCCTGCTTCTCACAGTAATTTCATTAAATATTAATTGTGCTACTAGAGTGTTATTGGTAAATTCAAATTCCAGTCAAGTAAGAAATCCTTGTTTTAGTAGCAGTTAAGGATTTGTACAATATAATTTTTTTATATTCCTCCAGGCCTAAAATTGAAATTTATTCCTTCAACATTTCATATTATAATTTTTACCATAGCAGTTATATACATTCCTGTGTCCAGTTTATGTGCTACATCCATATTTCCTGCATTGCCACTTGTTGTGTTGAATCATTCTTAATGAAATTTTGCACTTTCCAGTTTTTATTTTAAATTGCTGTGCTTAGCCTGGTTTAATTAATTTACATGCTTCTAATTCCAGCCATTTTCATGAAAGATTGCTAATTTAATTTACAATTTTGCTTGTTCTTAATTATTTGTTGCCGAGCCCAATTTAATAATTTTATTTGTGCCATTTTCTTACTTTAGCCAAGTTGATATATTTTTTGAGTGTTTATTTTTGTGTATACCATTTCTGATGCCTGGTGCACTTAATTATAATCTGCGTTCAAACATTACTTCCACGGCTGTGACAATGCCTACCACTGTTGAAACCCCTTCAGACTCAACGGGAACAGTTGCTCATCCCAATGGCCAGAGATCAGCTCAGGAAATGGCTATTCCTCTTTTTGCTGGTGAATCCCGCTTATTAGAGTCATGGTTTAGTAAGGTTGAAGCGAAAACTGTTGCACGTTTTTCTAAGCCTACTGATGCCGAATACTTAGCAATTGTACGGTCAGCTGTGGACACAACCAAAGGTTTGCACGTTTTGTTGTTGATAAGAAAGCCATTGTTAGCCTACAGTCTTGGTCTCAATTCAAGGATTTCTTTCGCCTGCGCTTTGTTAACAAAGGAGACCTTGACCCTTATAGGTTAGTCAATAAAATTGCCAATGCCACCATGCAGCCTAGTGAATCGTTTAATGCGTTTACTAGCCGTCTCGATCAGTATCTGTATGCCTTAGTTTCTGCTATGAATAGTTCGTCTTGGTTAGATAAAGACAATAATCTGTCCCCTGAGGGTATGGCGAAGATGATAGCATTTGGGACTTAAAAGCATTTTGCCCCCGAGCATACTAAACCGATCATTGAGCAACAAAATTTTCGTGTTAAACATGAAATTGGTGAAGTGTTTGAGGCTATTAACAATGCTGCCGATAAACTAGCTCCCCAAAGTGCTCAACTGTTGCCACCCTCTGATACTGCAAATGTAGTAACAAGCTCTCAGCATCCTCCCACAAACTCTCAAAACTCTTGGTCGCAGAACCGTACCCATGCTCATAGCCCCCAGTCAAATTCGCCTCCTCATAAGTTGCCGAGACGCCATAGTCCACAACCATCCACTCCCTCATGTTGGCATTGTGGTAAGAATAACCACCTCGCAAGGGACTGTTGGTCTGCCCCTAGATCATCACCCCCTAGACAATTCTCTCGGTCCCCTCGTCAATCTAATCATTCTAGGCTCCCATATTGCAAGTACCATAAACAAGTTGGTCACCACACAACGGATTGTACAGCTAGGCAAAGGACATCCCCTCCTCGTAACTCCCACGGTCAGTCTTGGCGAGGCGCACAGCGTCCAAGACATTATCAGAACTCACGTAATTACAACTCCCAGCCCAGCTATAATGCAACTTCAAATTATAATGCTCAGTCACAGAATGCAGGAGTTCAGAATGTTCACTCCATGTCGCCGGGAAACCCCCAAGGCCATCCGCTAACCAATTCAAGCTAGCCAATCCTAGTGCCCTCCCTGTGTATTAAGTAGCTATCCAAAATAGATTTGGACACTTGACAGAGGAGGACACTGACTCTAGACCAGTTATAGATGTTGACGGAACCATAGTGAATTTGACCCAGACAGACGCAGATATCCCAGACAACATAAGTCACAAGTAGTAACTTGTCCAGTCTCAAGTGATGGTCCCCTTGTCTCAGCCATAGTACATGGTAGAGTTTTAAAAAAATTTCTTGAGTCAGGCTCAAAAGTTAATATTGTCAAGCCCTCAGCTCTTAGAGACATTGAAAGTAGGCACCCTACTACAGTAAGGAAGTGCCCCATACCTTTTCTAAGTGGTGTTTCAGGAAATAAAGTAAAAGTTCAGGGTGAAATTGACCTCCCACTCAAGTTAGATGGTGTCACATTGTCTATAACATGTTTAGTTGTTGACGTTATTCATTTTCCTGGAGACATTCTCTTGGGTCTGTACACCATGATTGATCAAAATATTGCATTGTTTCCCCATCGTTGGAACATAAGTATCAAAGACCTCGTCATACCCTTGTGTGGCATGTATCGACAGGGCCATGAGTTCAACCTTCAATCAGACTACGTTAATTTTGTTGACATCCGCCTTGCTAGCGTAGGTTTGTCAGATCATTGTCGTGGTAGCATACCCAAGAAAACGGGCATTCGTATGAAGCATCGTAGTTGTGCAGGTGTTAAGGAGAGTGAGTATCGGGACTTTCTGGAAGGGGACGTCCTAACGGATTCCCGTTGTCTCGCTCGCCTGGCAGTTTCCATCTCTGAAGTCAGTGGTTCCACGGCAACTGACACTGTGCTGCACTCTCATTCTCTCACCAGAATAAGAGTTAAGGTTCAGGGAGTGCCTGAGTTGTCGGATGTGATTGCGGAAAGTGAAACATGTAAAGTGAATGGTACGTTTGTTGAACCCTCTTGGCACACAGTGCAGGATGGTACTGTTACATTATTTATTGCAAACACTAGTAATGCCGACATCCATCTCCAGTCTGGTACCCATGTTGTAGATTTTGCCCATTACTCGTTACCGGTGCGAGTTGTGGATGATGTCTCCATGGATCATACTGTTTGTACTCTCACACCAAGAGAACAGGGATCTCAGCCAGAGGTGCAAGCCCTACACCTCAGTCCTACTGATTTTCCTGACTCTGTGCCTCAGCTTTTCGAAATTTTGAACAGGAATAGAGCCGTTGTTGCTCTACCAGGAGAAAAGTTAGGTCTCACTCCTCTTATTACACATAAAATTCCCCATGAACATGGAACTACGCCTATTTATGTACCAGCTTACCGTCTTCCCCATTCTTAGAGAGCAGAAGCCGATAGACTTGTAGAGGAAATGTTACAGAGTGATGTAATTGAATCGAGTAATTCCCCATGGAACGCTCCATTGATTCTTGTACCAAAGCGAGATGGGACTTGGAGACCTGTAATCGATTATCTGAAGCTTAACAGAGTAACGATACCTGATCGTTTCCCACTTCCAGTTCTAAATGATTTGTTGCAAAGTATTGGTCGAAATAAAGTATTCTCAACGTTAGATTTGTTGCAGGGATTCTGGCAAATCCCCCTTGATGAGGAAAGTAAACAATTGACAGCCTTTAGTACTCCCAATGGTCATTTTCATTTCAAAAGAATGCCATTTGGTTTGCGGAGTAGTTCAATAACCTTTTCACGGCTCATGACAAATCTATTTCGTAGATTGATAGGAAGTACGCTTCTAGTTTACCTTGATGATCTCATAATCATGTTGCAAGATGTTCAGACTCATTTCCAGAACCTTGAGAAAGTACTTGCAAAGCTCGCTGAAGCTAATTTAAAAATAAAGCTTGCAAAATGTTCATTTTTAAAGGAGAAGATTAATTTTCTAGGTCATACAGTTACACCTTCAGGTATTACATTGAATGAATCAAAGATTATTGCTGCCCGTGATTTTCTAACGCCTCGTACCGCAGAAGCCGTAAGACAGTTCACAGGTCTTGTAGGATTTTATCGTTCATTTATTGCTGGATTCTCTATTATAGCCGCTCCACTTTATAAGTTGCAAAGGAAAGATGAACCCTTTGTTTGGGGAGAGGCCCAGGATCAGTCATTCAAAAAACTCAAGTCAGCCTTGATTTCGTCACCTGTCCTTAGGTACCCAGATTTTTCTAAACCTTTTACGTTGGTTACAGATGCTAGTGACATAGGTCTAGGTGCTGCATTACTTCAAACAGAAGGTCACAGAGATCATGCAATAGCTTATGCAAGCCGTACATTATCTAAAGAAGAGAAAAATTATAGTGCAACAGAACGAGAAGCCTTGGCAGTTGTCTCGGCACTTAAACATTTCAAGGATACAATTTATAATTACCCAGTTCATGTTCTTACAGATCACCAACCATTAATTCCCTTGTTCAAAAATAAGAATCCAGTTGGAAAGTTTGCTAGATATTTGCTCACAATTCAAGAATTCAATCCCACATTTGGATATATTCCAGGAAAGCAAAATGTTGTAGCCGATGCGTTTTCTCGACACGTAGCTGCAATTCAGTTAAATTACCCAGCATTAGATGCTACAGTAGTTGAGACGGAACAGAGACAAGACCCCATATGGGCACCCGTCATTAAATTTTTGACCAAGCAAGACACTCGCCCGATTCATAAACCGCCAGTACCACTGAAAGAATTAGTTATGTTGGACAATTTACTGTGTAGAGTAGTAAAGCTAGGGACAGCCCCGAGGAAATGTTGTCAGTTAGTTGTTCCAGCTGTCTTGGTACCAACTGTGTTAAAAATTATCCATGATGCTCCTGCAAGTGCACATCCAGGAAAGGATCGTACACTCCAACAAGGTCGATTGAAGTATTTTTGGCCAAAAATGGCTAAGGAGATTGCTCATTATCTTGACAGATGTTTAACTTGCTTACAGCACAAGGGACATGTGTCAGGACCTAATCCAATTCAGGTGTACCCAGACACTAAAGCTCCTTGGGAACGAGTATCGATGGATTTGTTGACAAATTTTGCGGAAACAGAGAAAGGGAACAAACATTTGCTTGTAATGGTCGATAATTTTTCACGGTTTTGCGAACTAGTTCCTATCCCGAACAAAACAGCAGAAACTATAGCCAGTGCATTCCATGACCAAATAATTTGTAGATATAGTATGCCTTAATTAATCCTTTCAGATAATGGTCCAGAATTCAGTAACAGTATTTTAACTAGCTTGTGTGATTTATATAACATTAAAAAAATGTAGTATCATGCCTTATCATCCAGCAAGCAACGGATTAGCCGAACGTACTAACAGGAAAGTGTTAGATGCCTTGAGAGTCACTTTGAATTTTGATAACAACAATTGGAATGATTTTATACCCTTAATTCAGTGTGCTATAAATTCTTCAATTAATGTTTCTATGGGTGACACACCTCACGCTATTCTTTATGGTACAGATAAGATCCTCCCTAATGAATTGATTAATGTACCTCCTACTCCCTTATATAACGTAGATGATTTTGTTCAAGTGAAGCGTAAACAAATGCAACTAGTATTCAAGAAAATATGAGAACAACTGTCCAAAGCAACAGCCGAGTTCACTCTAGCAAGGAATGCACGAGCTAAACCCAGTAAAATAACTATCGGATCTGTAGTAATGATACTTAACCAACACAGGTCTGGTCCTATGTACAAGTTAACTAAGAAATTTTTGGGTCCATATAAGGTAACCAAGCTTATGAAAGGTACAAGTACAGATTCAAGAACTTAGTAACAGGAGAGTATATAAATGAACATTTAGACCATATGAAGTTAGTTAAAATGACTGTTGACGAGACTGATATGGAAGATGACAATGAACTTACCCAGACAGATCCTTCTATTGGGACACCACCTTCTGGGGTTGACAGACCACTTGATGTACAGCAACCCCATACTAGCACCTATAATCTTAGATCTAGACCTCTCGTTTCAACCGTGCACTCACCACATGTCCATTGGCTAGATGTTAACGAAGTTATCTCTGAAGATGATAGTTTGTCACATGAAGTTTCATCTGTTCCTGACCTTCAGTCAGAGCCAGAGTTGAATAGTGCTCTGGATGAGCTAGGTGTAGATATCCGCAGAATTTATAATTGAGTGCACTCTGCAGTTATTCTGTTTTGTTTTGAAAAAAAAAATTAATTTGCAGTATTTCTACCATATGTGTCTTATTATCACCATTATATATAATGTATAGTTTTTCTCAACTTTATTTTGTTATAAATTAGATGCCATTGTTAAGTCTACTACCATTTGTAGCTTACAGTGCTTGTCATAAGAGTTCATTAATGTTCTAGCAACCACATTGTGGCCAGTGAATCCTGACTGCTATCACGCAGATGTTAGTCTTCTTGATCCAGGTCTTGTATATAGCTTGTAAATATATTGAACATTAAATATATTGCACATTGGTCTTGAAAATATATTGTACATTAAAAAAACAAAAATCCACATTATCTAATCTTAAAATTCATTTGTGATTGTTAGGTCAGAACTTTGTTCCGTTAATGCAATAATTGTTTAATTTTGTATGGTTTTCAAGCACATGCCATTGACACATGTTAATAATTTTGTTTAGGCAATACCTTGAGTTGTATTGTTCATATCTGATCAGTAGACATACACATGTTCTTAATACTCTGGTTTAATTAAAGCATTGTTACCATGATTTTTCACACCTGATCTTCTTTCAATATTTATTATGCAAATTTCACATGTAAGCCATTATTGACTGCCACCAAGGTCCTTTCAGTATCATTGTAACTATATAGCTAGCCAGAGCTTGTCGACTTGGTAGCGTGTCCGAGCGGTGTTATACTCAAATTGAATGTCCGTTGAGACATAACCAATCACAGGCAAGTAGGCCTCTGACGTCATGCCAGACAGACAGTCACCAGCCATGCTCCCAGCAGCAGCCTCAGTTCTCCCGACAGACTCAGAGTAGGTGGACCTCGGCTGGCCAGATATACACCTTGTTGTCTCAGTCAATAAATATACAGAAGTTCCTACTGTGTCTACATTCAACCCCGCAAGGCAACTAATACACCTTCGTGTACCTCACCTTCGTGTGCTTCACCTTCGTGTGTCTCACCTTCATGGGCCACACCTTCGTGGGCCTCACCTTCGTGGGCCTCACCTTCGTGTGCCTCAACTTTGTTTGCCTCACCTTCGTGTGTCTCACCTTCGTGTCCCTCAACTTCGTGTGTCTCACCTTCCTGTGTCTAACCTTCGTGTGCCTCACCTTCGTGTGCCTCACCTTCGCGTGTCTCACCTTCGTGTGCCTCAACTTCGTGTGTCTCACCTTCATATGCCTCACCTTCGTGTGCCTCACCTACGTGTGCCTCACCTTCGTGTTGTCTCACCTTCATGTGCCTGACCTTCGAAGGCCTCACCTTCGTGTGCCTCACCTTCGTGTGCCTCACCTTCGTGTGCCTCACGTTCATGTGTCTCACCATCGTGTGTCTCACCTTCGTGTACCTCACCTTCGTCAGCCTCACCTTCGTGTGTCTCACATTCGTGGGCCACTCCTTCATGTGCCTCACGTTCGTGGGTTTCACCTTCGTGTGCCTCAACTTCGTGTGTCTGACCTTCGTGAGTCTCACCTTCGTGTGTCTCACCTTCGTGTGCCTCACCATCGTATGCCTCAACTTTGTGTGTCTCACCTTCACGTGTCTCACATTCGTGTGCCTCACCTTCGTGTGCCTCACTTTCGTGTGTCTCACCTTCGTATGTCTCACCATCGTATGCCTCAACTTTGTGTGTCTCACCTTCACGTGTCTCACCTTCATATGCCTGACCTTCGAGTGCCTCACCTTCGTGGACGTCACCTTCATGTGCCTCACCTTCGTGAGCCTCACCTTCGTCGGCCTCACCTTCGTGGGCCTCCCCTTCATGTGTCTCACCTTCGTGTGTCTCACCTTCGTGTGTCTCACCTTCGCGTGTCTCACCTTCATGTGCCTGGCCCTCGAGTGCCTCACCTTCGTGGGCATCACTTTCGTGGGCCTCACCGTCGTGGACGTCACCTTCGTGTGCCTCACCTTCGGGTGTTTCACCTTCGTGTGTCTCATCTTCGTGTGCCTCACCTTTGTGTTCCTCAACTTCATGTGCCTCACCTTCGTGTGCCTCACCTTCGTGTGCCTCACCTTCGTGTGCCTCACCTTCGTGTGCCTCACCTTCGTGTGTCTCACCTTCGTGTGCCTCAACTTCGTGTGATTCTCCTTCGTGTGCCTCACCTTCGTGTGCCTCACCTTCGTGTGTCTCACCTTCGTGTGCCTCAACTTCGTGTGCCTCACCTTCGTGTGCCTCAACTTCGTGTGTCTCACCTTCGTGTGCCTCACCTTCGTGTGCCTCAACTTCGTGTGTCTCACCTTTGTGTGCCTCACCTTCGTGTGCCTCACCTTCGTGTGCCTCAACTTCGTGTGTCTCACCTTCGTGTGCCTCACCTTCGTGTGCCTCAACTTCGTGTGTCTCACCTTCGTGTGCCTCACATTCGTGTGCCTCAACTTCGTGTGTCTCACCTTTGTGTGCCTCACCTTCGTGTGCCTCACCTTCGTGTGCCTCAACTTCGTGTGTCTCGCCTTCGTGTGCCCCACCTTCGTGTGCCTCAACTTCGTGTGTCTCACCTTCGTGTGCCTCACCTTCGTGTGCCTCAACTTCGTGTGTCTCACCTTCGTGTGCCTCACCTTCGTGTGCCTCAACTTCGTGTGTCTCACCTTCGTGTGCCTCACCTTCGTGTGCCTCAACTTCGTGTGTCTCGCCTTCGTGTGCCCCACCTTCGTGTGCCTCACCTTCGTCGGCCTCAACTTCGTGTGTCTCACCTTTGTGTGCCTCACCTTCGTGTGCCTCACCTTCGTGTGCCTCAACTTCGTATGGCCCACCTTCGTGTATCTCACCTTCATGTGCCTGACCTTCGTGTGCCTCACCTTTGTGGGCCTCACTTTCGAGTGCCTCATCTTCCTGCTCCTCACCTTCGTGTGCCTCACCTTCTTGTGGATAACCTTCATGTGTCTCATCTTCGTGTGCCTCACCTTCGTGTGCCTCTCATTCGTGGGCCTCCTCTTCGTGGGCTTCACCTTCGAGTGCCTCACCTTCATGTGCCTCAACTTTGTGTGCCTCACCTTCGTGTGTCTCACCTTCGTGTGTCTCACCTTCGTGTGTCTCACCTTCGTGTGGCTCACTTTCGTGTGCCTCACCTTCGTGTGTCTTTGCTGTCCACGTGTGCGGACAGCACAAGTTCTTTGCTGTCTTTGGAGTAGGACAGCAAAGAACTGAAGAATATCAGTAATGGCGCCGCATGAATCTAGGGCAGTACGGATCCCGTCTGTGCTCACCTGGAACCCCAGAAACTTTAATTTCTGAGATGTCATGCACAATCTAATAGTTTGTGCGAGTTCTCTATATTACTTTATACTGCAATCATCAGCTGATGTGGGTGGCTGCCCCGTTGATCACCCCCCCCCCCTCACCTGGTATGCTCCTCTGGCATCTTATTCGCATTCCTGGTTCTACAAAGATTGCAGTTGAACTATGCCCAGTGTCTGGCACATCCGGCCAATGACGAGCTCGGCTAGACCCTATGGCCCAATCACAGCATAAGCTAGGCCTTTCAGTGGCACATGAGCCAATCAGCCACCATTAGGACTCCTGAAGTGTCGTTTTCCCACCAATGCCTACCAGACCTAAGCCTGGTCATCGTCATCCCAATAACATAGTAATCCATCAGCTGTCAACTGTTGTAAACCACTTGCACAATGGGAGGCTGTATGTCCAATGGATAACTCGAGATGGTTGTATTCTGATGCCTCAGGCACTCAAGAAAGGAGAAAAACAGGTAATATTTATGGCTAATGTCCTTTCCGCGAGGGGTGGGAAGAACCGATGGAATTAGAGGGAGGAAAAGTGGAGGAGAAGAGAAGAAAGGGGGAAGAGGAAGGAAGAGGGGGGGAAGTGTTGAGAGGAAACGAATGGGGAGAGAGATGAATAGTTTCCTGAACGGTTAAAAGACGTCCCCAGTACAAGCAAATCGTTTACATCACAAGGTAGACATTCACAGCACAAGGTAGACATTCACAGCACAAGGTAGACATTTACAGCACAAGGTAGACATGCACAGCACAAGGTAGACATTCACAGCACAAGGTAGACATTCACAGCACAAGGTAGACATTCACAGTAAAAGGTTACATTATTATGTTGTCGGTCGATTGTATATGCCCCTTCCGGACAACCAACCAAAACCCGTAGAGTGCTTGTACTTTGATCAGGAGATCACCCTGTACACTTCCTGCTCTTGGAGAGTGGCTGAGCGTGACACATTTAGGGGGTGCGGCTCCAACACTGACCTCGTTGTCACGAGTACACACCCAATTCGAGGTTCTGTGACTCCCCCACTCTCTCCTTGGTTGGTATGACCTCCTCAATCCCCCTTTCTTGAATTATAATTCTGTACCACCCTGTCCACAGCTGTGGTTCTTTCTCTCTCTCTACTTTTTTACTTACTGGAAAGCCTCACTAGGACAAGGGCAAACACCTGTAGATTACTTACATTTAATGGACAGAGAACATATACAACACACAATCAAGATATAATAGTGACTCCAACACTCTATGCTATTATAATCAGGTTGCATCCAATCTCATCAGGGATCTTTCAGCTGCTTATATCTAGTGGTAGCCCAACTCCTGCCTTGCCACTTAGGCTACCAACCTCACCACGTGGGTTAAATCCACTATCAGCCCAGGAATATATGTAAATATACACAGGTAACTCAGGCTGTAATACTATTAACATCAGTATAAATATTCCTTGATACCAAAAAATAACCAATCTCCCACCTTCCACTGTGTCTGGCATGCCAATGATACTCAAGCACTCTACCAACTCCCTACAAGTAGTTACTAAAAACCTCCTCTCGACATCTAGAGGTTAACTACCCTGAACAACTTCAGGTTCTTCCAGGATTATCTACCAGAGTCATCCACAGCTCCCCCAGGCTGCTACACCATGAAGGTTTCCTTGAACAGCAATGATGCTTCACCACTGGTATTAAAGAAGAACGTGACTCCTCGTCACTGCTTCCCACACAGCTTGAGGTCCAACTCCTCACTGTGAGGCTACTCTTCCTCAGAGTACACTGTTCCTTCAACTGCCTTGGAGATTTTTCCACTAACTTCCTCTACTGGCTCGATGTTCTCAGCAACTCCTTCCCCAGAAAAACCAGCAACCCACTGACACGCCAAAAAAGATGTTTCCCTATAAACATATAACTAAAATAAACTATGCTATAAATGTATCCACTTGACATCCCTGTGATTCCCGCGTGCTGTGAGGAAACTTCCCCACGCCCGGACGGGTTCATTCTCTGCCTTCCCTGGGAGCCCTCCACCTGGGCGGCCCTCACTCAGTCGCCCACAAGCACCCGGCGAGAGAGGATGTGCCACTCGTCTATCCATCTGGCTCCCTCATCTCTATTCTCTTATTTAGGCTTTCTGCCTTGATAAAATATGCATAATATATCAATAGACACTTGCTACGGTCGCTGGGCACACGACCAACTGTAGGCAATCACTGTTAACTGGTTAAAATGAGCTTACCACAGAGTTTTTTGTACAAAGGGCACACATTGGTCCCAGCGTCTGACGTCGGCGCACTTTTTAGCCCACAAAATCGCTATTTAAACTGCTCCACAGGGCTACTCTCCTTCTTGAATCGAGCACAAAGTCATTCCCAGGCTTCATACAAGAATGCCGGACTAATTGTAGTCTCCGTGGTGTAGTGGTAAGACACTCGCCTGGCGTTCCGCGAGCGCTATGTCATGGGTTCGTATCCTGGCCGGGAGGATTTACTGGGCGCAAATCCTTAACTGTAGCCTCTGTTTAACGCAACAGTATAATGTGTACTTGGATAAAAAAACGATTTTTCGCGGCAGGGGATCGTATTCCAGGGACCTGCCCGAAACGCTACGCGTACTAGTGGCTGTACAAGAATGTAACAACTCTTGTATATATCTCAAAAAAAAAAAATTATCCTCTCGATGGAGCACGTAACTAGAGATTCTTCCACTGATACTGGGAGCTCAAAGACACTGCATCCTGCTTCCACGACTTCCACTACTCGAGTAAGGTCAAGAACCTCTGACTTGAGCCTCATGCCTTCCTCACAAAATTCCGACATCTCATGTCAAGTCATTTATTTATATCCTTACTCATTGCCCATCCTTTTAACTATTCCTCAACATTAGCCAAGTGTTTACAATATACTTTCACATGTCTATATCTCTTTGATCTCTCAGTTAGGTCAGGTCTGGCGGAATAAGTTTCAAGGGTTGACTCTTTTTTCCAGCAGTCTGAGATCATAACAACATTCAAAAAACGAGGTAGATATTTACAACACAAGGAAGACATTCATAACACATGGTTGATATTCATAACACACGGTTGACATTCACAGCACAAAATAGATATTCACTGAATAAAGTAGACATCCACTGCATAAGGTAGACATACACTGCACAAGGAAAACATTCACAGCACAAGAAAGACATTCACTGAATAAGGTAGACATCCACTGCACAAGATAGACAAGCTGTTTGGGACATAGTACACCCTTTCCCTGTGATTTTGGTAAATTAGAGACGACCTGCAAGTGTTGGTCGTGCCTTGGTGAAAGTGTAGTGCCGTAGTGCCTTTAGGAGGAAGGAAGTAAGCCGGCGTTTCTCTCGTGGAGCCTGCTGGGCGACGTTGTGAACTCAAGTCGTGGACTGGAGGAAACCTTGTGAGGCAGTCCTGAAGTATTTTTGTGTGCGGCCAATGTGAGCGCCTTGTTTGGGCTCCAGTGAGTGAGTGTCATCACGTCAGAGATTTCAACAGTAAGCATGTTTAATTAGTTGTTAATTTAGCAACATAGGCCAGTGTTTGATCATGAGCCCAACGATCATAGTGAACAGCGGCCAGATTCACGAAGCGGTTATGCAAGTACTTACGACCCTGTACATCTTTTCTCAATCTTTGGCGGCTTTGTATACAATTATTAAACAGTTAATGAACTCTGAAGCACCAAGAGGCTGTTTATAACAATAATAACAGTTGATTGGAAAGTTTTCATGCTTGCAAACTATTTAATAAATGTAACCAAAGGTATCAAAGATTGAGAAAAGGTGTACAGGTTTGTAAGTACTTGCATAACTGCTTCATGACTCTGGCCCCATATGTGTATGTAGAATATATACATTATTTAGACAGTGAGCTAAAATAAGTAATTAAAGTTGGGATGACATGCTAGAGGGAGCGGTGGTACGTCCACCGTCAATGAAGGTTAGTGAATGACTGAGGGGGACGCCCACCAGCGTTGCGGCGGCCAGTGACGGCTCCAGCAACATGTCGAGACATGTTCCCACGTGGTCCCGCCCAGGATGGGGGAGGATCCACATCGCTGGAGCCATAGTGCTGGAATAAGGATGTCGCATGGAGGAGTTTATTTTCTGTGAATACATAATTATGTTTCATTAGGAAAACATTTTTATTGGCATGGTAATGTATTTGCAGGTTTGTTTGGGAAGGAGTTCGTGGAGAAACTTTGAAGTAAGTAATTATCAAAAGAAGGCACCAAACTGGGAAAGCTATGTATCACCATCAAATGTGCGGAATAATCAGAGGGCGCTAAATATCACCAAGGATGTCAATACGAGAACATAAGTTGAACGATATCAAAAGTATCGGATTCACCAAGAGTTCTATCAAGGGACAAGCGACTGCGAGGAACGGTCGGAAAGCAAGACACATGCTCGTCCTGGAAGTCAAAACATTCAGCAAGGATATGCACGACTGTAAATAAAAGGAACAATGCAATTTGGACTATAAGGAGCAGGGTGGCGCTACATTAAGTGACCGTGAGTTAAGCATATATGGCCAATACGCAACCTCGCCAGAGCCATTTCCTATCACCGGTTACAGTGGCAGGAGGAAGGTATTATAATACTTTGGGTTGGTTGGTGTTGTCGTCGTTGATCCTTCTCTATGGACAACCCAACCCACAACTCGGTAGAGTGTTTATACTAGGAGATCACCCTTGGCACTTCTGGCTCTTGGAGAGGGGCTCAGCGTCACACGTTTAGGGGATGCGGCTCCAACACTTAGCCTCGTTGTCACGTGCACACACCCACTCGAGCCGCTGTGACTCCCCACTCTCTCCTTAGGTGATATGATCTCCTCATTAGTATTACCTTTTACCCTGTCCACAGCAGTGGTTCTTGGTTCTTTCTCTCTCTCTCTCC